AGGTAGGTGTTCTTTCTGGAGCTAATTTTTTAAGCTGGTTGGTTAAGGTTCTAATGGTTACTCTCAATTGTTTTTCTTCGTCTCGGAGCTGGTCTAGCTCTTCACTGACCTTCTTGCCTTTATCTATAATTTTCTTGAAGTTTCTGGAAAGGCCTTACAATGTCTGCACATTTGGAGCGGATTCTGGGAATCTATATGAGGATTAGAACTACTGCTGCTTGTACTACTGCTCCCACTTGTCTGGCTAACTGGAACGCCACTGGTAGCAAAGATGGTAGATCTCATCTTGCTCAATGTGTCCAGGTAATCTTTAGCTATCTAGCTAATAAAGTAACTGGTTCCTATTTGTCTTCGGGCATAGGTACTGGCTGACTCAAAATCATAAAATCCTTTAAACTGAGGTGTGGGAAAATTTTTGACTAAAGGTTCTACTTCTATCCAATCATGGTAAATACCAGGCTTGGTTCCTTTAGCTACTACATAGAAAGAAAAACTTTTAGACAGGGGCTTGTTTTGGATTTTTGAAAAATATATACTGAGAGAGTTTAGGGCTGAAAGGCGCTTAGCTGGGTGGTTTTGGTTGGTCCAAAGGTTATCTAAAAGACACTATTGAACTGGGTCTAGCTCAATCCTGTTAAGGGTCTGAACTTGGTTCTGCCTTCATGAATGGGAAGAGAAAATCCCCCAAAGTTCATGGTCTTGCTGTTCTCCATTATCTGCACAAAAATTAAACTGGTTATCTTCTTTTTCTAAATAAATTTTTCTACTTAACCAGTCCGTTAATTTATTATCGCTTCCTTTAATATGCTCAAATTCTACTTTATATCCCTGTCCTACTATACAATCTAAAAATTTTGCCCATCTTCTAGTACTTAATTTACGCTCGTTTAGTTTGTTATGAAATCTAACTATGGCTTCACAATCTGTCCTAATTGTAAAAGGTTTGTGCAAAAATAATCTAAATTTATTTATTGCGTATACTACTCCTAGTATTTCAAAATCTAGGCTGGTCATAGTTGTATCTTTTTCTTTAAATTTTCCAGAACTGTATCTACAAATGCGTTCTTTATTTTTACAGTCATATTTACTGGGTTTAGCTAATAATATTGTTCCCCATCCCAATTGACTTGCGTCTGTTTCTACAACTATGTATTCAGATTCTAAGGGAAGTTGTAGGTCTGGTAGGTTTTTACAAATGTCTTTTATTTTTCTAACTAGAGCTATATCTTGCTGATTGAAATATTTCTGTCCAGTAGGTGTGGTCTTACTATAAAGGGGTCCTATTATTTTACTAAGATTAGGAATATACATTCGTGCATAATTTAAAATTCCTAAAAAGGATTGAAGTTGCTTTGTATCTTCTAATTTATCTGGATAACCTAAAATTTTCTTAACTATGTGAGGTTGTAACCTAATTTTTCCATCTCCTAGCTCCATTCCCAAAAATTCTATGTAGGGTTTATTTAATACCATCTTTTTCTTACTAATTATTATTCCATTATTTATGAATTCCTCTAATGTTATATACAAATGATCTATGTGACTACTTTTATCTAGACTGAACACTAATATGTCATCTATATATACCAGTATAAAACTATATTTATTAAATATACTATCCATTTTACGCTGAAATATGGAAGGTGCATTTTTTAATCCAAAGGGCATAACTAGCCACTCATAATGTCCTTGAGGGCAACAGAAGGCTGTCCATGGTATGCTTTCCTTTTCCATTTTTATCTGCCAAAATCCTGACTTACAATCAAATTTGCTAAATATCTTTACTGTCTGTATTCTATTTATGAGTTGGTCTTTATCCGGTATATTATATTTATCATCTTCTGTATTATCATTTAATCTTTTATAATTTATCACCATTCTAGCTTTTCCTCTTTTTATCTCTGCATGATTTCTAACCATAAATGCTGCACTCCTGTGCGGGCTATTGCTGGGTCTAATTACTCCTAGATCTAGTAATTCTTTAATCTGTGTTCTAAATTCTTCTATGTCTGCTGGTGTATGATCTATTTGTACTGAAGTAATCCTATAATCTTTGTTTTTTATATCTAGACTAGCTAAAATTTTATTTCTTTCCCAATACTTCATGGGCTGTTCTCCTAAAATTTCTGTTGTTTCAGCTAATCTTATTATCTCATCTAAATCATTTTCGGTTCTCCTGTATATTGGTTTTTTCTTTATTTTTCCTATTTTTGCAAAAATTAATTCTAAATTAGCTGGTTGTTTAAAATCTTCTAGGTTCCAATAATCTTCCTTAGTTTCAAAATCAAATTCTTCTAAATCATAATTTTCTGTATCTAAATTTTCTAAAGACGTATTTGCTATCTCATTAGGTATGTATTTTTGGGCTAGGTCGGGAAAAATATTTCTACTTGGAAATAAAAAACTAGCGGGAACTGAATCTACTCCTATGGTACCACCACGCTTCGCGCGCAACTCTGAGGAATGGGCGATGGTGCTAAGGGCATAAGCTGTTGGTGTATGTACAGTTCGCTTGAAGAAACTAATGTTGTTTTGACTGAGTAACATGCCACCTTGTAAGCTAAGGATGAAATTAAGTCCTAGGATGAAAGCTAATAAAGTAACTGGTTCCTATTTGTCTTCGGGCATAGGTACTGGCTGACTCAAAATCATAAAATCCTTTAAACTGAGGTGTGGGAAAATATATGACTAAAGGTCCTACTTCTGTCCAATCATGGTAAATACCAGGCTTGGTTCCTTTAGCTACTACATAGAAAGAAAAACTTTTAGACAAGG